TGGAGAAATAAAACAAGCTCCGTATTTAATGCAGAAGAATACCATTTGCAAATGTAAATCCCAAAAAGGGCTGTAATATTGCCAAGATAAAGTGACATTCTTTTCTCTTAAATAATGCAAGCAAGAAAGAACATGGTTTAAAAGAATAGCCCTGCCAAACATTTTTACCTCCCCGAATTGTCATTCATATAGAGCATGACATTGCTTAAGCTGCTTCAGCTGACAGATTTATAAAGCATAACAATTTTTGAACCGTTACACTCCTTTTCAGAGCCAAATCATTTCAGATAATATTTTAATACACTTAGGAACACATCACTTGTTTCTGGAAAAATGAATTCAAAACGCCAAAGCTCCTGAGACTTAAAGCAAAATAAAACTTGAGCTTATTTATTGCATGTTAACAAGCACAATCTATTTCCTTCTTCCTCTTTGTCTCGGTCCCATTTGACTGTTTTGTGCCAGAGACCTAGACATGAGCATTTTCATCTAATCAGATGCTAAGGCTCTGGGAGAAGCTGCCACAGATGTCAGAAGTGGAAATAGCAGGAAAGGAAAGATGCAGCCAAAAGGATGGTGATATTAATCAATCTTGTGCTACTCTCAAGATTTATTTCTGTCGTATGCTGTTGAAATTTTGAAAACATTTGTCTTGAATCAGGCCCGGAGTGTCAGTGTCGAGATTTATAGTTACATCTTGGCAGATCAATCAGCATTCTCTGTAAAACACACTGCAAGGAATTATAAAGGTCCGTCTTCTAGCTTGGTGGCCTGGTTGACTTAGTTGTTAGTTTCAGTCTGTGTAGTTGAAAAAGCATTTCTGTGCAAAGAGTTACTGATGTCTTGCTATGGATAAAAGCACCTTGTAACATAAATTGTGATTGTACAGAAAATCCCATGTGGGTCATACTGACTATCAAAATCTTGGCTCCAATATCCATATTAGATAACTTGTCTCCCTTTATGTTCTGTAAACTCTCCATTTATTCTTCTATTTTAATAAACAGTGCATAGAGAGTACACTATACAAATAGGGAGTCTGGAAGTGGGTCTTTACTCTGACATGCTTTTCACAATGCCATTTTATCTGAAGTCTGATATAATTACCTTAGAAATCTGTAGTTCATGAAGACAGTGGCTTGATGTGTGGCATAAACACTGCAGTTAATTTATAACAAGCTTGAACAAATGGTAGCAAATATAGGCATTAAAAGAGCCCATTGACTACATGAGGCAAGATAATAATGCAATGAGCCTTGCAAAGAGGCTTAATACTGAAATCTATTTCACTCACTCCTGAAAAAAAGGCTTCCACATTAACAGTGAATTTAAGAATTTTCCATATTCTTTCCACAAAAGCTGCATGATCTTAAATTTATTGACAAAATGATTTTAGAGGCTAAGTCGAGGCAAAATTTTAGGGCCCTGGTGCTTTCCCCAAGGATAAAATAAGGTTATTCAAAGGGTGCACCCCCTCGATTGCATTATTGCATTTCCTGATGGTCAGTTTGAAAAAAGTCCTTTCAGAGAATTCATAGATTCACAGAAGGTACCGCTCAGAAATGGCCCACTCACCCATCCTGTCCAGCTGGTGTTTATACTACAATGAGTGTCCATCCGAGATCTTATTCCCTAGTCCCATATCCCGACTTCTTCCCCATATCCCTCAACTTTATTCTCACTTAATCATGTGTCTAGTCTTTTTTTGAATGTGCACATGATTGCTGCCACCACAACTGACTGTGGCAGAGAATTCCACAATCGTATCACTGTCTGTATGAAACACAGTTTCCTAACATCCGTTCTGGACTTCCTCGCTCGCATTTTAAATCTCTTCCCTCTAGTTCTAGACCCCATGACCCCAGAAATAATCTTTCTCTGTCCACCCTATCTAAGCCTCCCATCATCTTCTATATCTCCATCAACTGCCTCACAGCCTTCTGAGCTCTAAAGAAAAAAGCCCCAGTTTTTCAAACCACTTAGAAGCAGATCCCTTACACACCAACTTCACCAAACAGTAGTGTTTCATGTGTTGCATCCAGAGAGGGAAATGATAAGAAAAGGCACATCTGTTAAAAACAATTAATCTGGAGGTCCTGGATACCTTGGATTTGTGAAAGACAGACCTGCTTGCAGATCCAGCGTAGCAAAGACCTGGGTTAAGAATTGCGACACAAGCAGCATTGTATCCAGGATGTCAAAAAATGATCCAAAGGACAAGCAGGAAGACAGATAGATAGACAAGGAGACAAATAGGCAAGGAGACCGAGAGACAGAGAGAGACAGGGAGGCAGGCAGGCAAGCAGACCAACTGTAGGTAACTACGGACTGAGCCCCATGAGGTAAGGTAAACCATATTCATAGCCCCCCAAGCAGGTTTATTTTCATAGAATACCAAGTCAGAGCTGTAAAAGAATCCAATTGTGAATGTACTGTGAATCTACATTTATTTACAGCGAGGAAAGGGCTGACTCCTTTCAGTGTAGGGGCAGAGAATAAGACCTCACTAAACAACTTGCAGGCACTTGTGTTTTACATAGGGCCTGGAACAAATCTCAGTGCGTGAGCTGTTGGAGAAAGATTAATTAGGATTCTTTCCCAAAGTTGAGTGAAAACAATAACCTCTTTCCAAAAGGAAATACTGGGACAGCTCCAAAACTCATGGAAACAGGTGCGCGTTCCCAGATTTAGAAGCACGGAATGATAAAAGGCCATTTGGCCCATCAAGCCCTCTTGTTCCGCAGACCAAGCATAACCTGCCTGTCATGGAATCCACCACAACCACTCCATCTTCTGTAGTAAAGGTCTGCATCAATACTCCCCGATGCCCAAAGGTAATCAAGCAAGCACTGCAGAATATATCCACTCCTATATCTCCACTTCCATTTCTCCACAGACTATGCCCCCTCCCCCCATAACACAAATGAAGCCTTTGTTTGTGTTCTTTGCTTGTTCCACTCCTAAGTGCTTCTCTTCCTGGCCCCATAGAGTCATCTGCAGTCAAACCAAGAGCTCTAAGCTTAGTCCTCTTGTCTTATTTATCGACATGCCCCATCTTGGTGCCATCAACAAGTATGGGGTCCACTACAGATATACTGCAGTTTAATGTGGAGAAATGCAAAGTGATGAATTTTGGGAGGAAGAATGAGGAGAAGCAATATAAGCTGATGGTAGAATCTTAAAGGGGGTGAAGGAACAGAGACCTGGGGGTTCATATAAGTAAATCTTTGAAGGTGGCAGGACAGGGAGATAAGGCTGTTAAAAAAGCATACGGGATACTAGGCTTTATAAATAGGGGCATAGAATACAAAAGTCAGGAAGTTATGATGAACCTTTATAAAACACTGGTTAGGCCTCAGCTAGAGACTGTGTTCAGTTCTGGGCCCCACACTTTAGGAAGGATGTCAAAGCATTGGAGAGGGTGCAAAGCAGATTTACCAGGATGGTATCAGGAATGAGGGACTTCAGTTATCAGGAGAGGCTACAGAAGCTAGGATTATTCTCCTTTGAGCAGAGAAGGTTAAGAGGAGACTTAACAGAATTATATAGAATAGATCATTTCAAAATTATGAGGGGATTCGATAGGGTGAACAAATAGAAACTATTTCCACTGGTGGGTGGATCGGTAACCTGAGGGCACCGATTTAAAATAGTTGTTAAAAGAAACAGGGGGGAGGTGAGGAGAAATGTTTTCACACAGTAAGTTGTTGGGATCTGGAATGCATTGCCTGAAAGGGTGGTGGAAGCCGATTCGATAACAACTTTTAAGAGAGAAGTAGATAATTATTTGGAGAGGACAAGTTCGCAGGGCTATGGGGAGAGAGTGGGAGAGTGGGATTGAATTGTAAAGCTCTTTTCAAAGAACTGGCACAGACACGATGGGCCAAATGGCCTCCTTCTGTGTTGTATAATTCTATGATATTTGAATGACACACAGCTTTATATCTTTGTTCGATTCCACAACCACTGCTGTTCCGATTGTCTTTCAGACATCAACTGAATGAGCCCCCACTTCCTTCAGCTCAATGTCAACAAAACAAAGGCATTCTCCTCAGCTCTTTCTAACACCTCTTTGCCTCTGACTCCAACCTCATCAACCTACCCAGTTGCTCACACAAACTCATTGAGCCAGTGCGCAACCTTAGTGTTTTTTTTATCCTAAGATCTGTTTCAAACCTATACTCGGTCCTTGACCAAGGCGGCTTTTCTCCATTTGCAGAACACCAGATCACCTTTATAATAACAATCATTATAATTATAATGCTTACGTTCGATAAAGTCCCTCATCCCTGATACCATTCTGGCAAATCTCCTCTGGACCCTTTCAATGGCCTTGATATTCTTCCTAAAGTGTGGTGCCCAGAAATGGACACAATACTCCAGCTGAGGCCTTATTTACTGGTTTATAAACGTTTAGCAGAACTTCTTTGCTTCTATTTATAAAGCCAATGATCCCATTTGCATTTTTAACTGCTATATCAACCTGTCCTGCCACCTTCAAAGACCTGTGTATGTGAACCCCCAAGTCTCTCTGCTCCTGAACCCCCTTTAAAACTGTACCATTTTGTGTATATTGCCTCTCCTCATTCTTCCTCCCAAAATGCATCACTTTACACTTCTCTGCATTACACTTCATCTGCCACGTGTCTGCCCATTTAACAAGTCTGTCTATGTCCTCCTGTAGTCTGCTACCATCGTACCACTGTTTACCACGTTCCCAAGTTTTGTGTCATCTGCTCTCTAAACCCAAGACCAAGTCAGTGTAACTTACCATTAGGTATGTTCATTAAAAAACAATGGATTGTTAAAATAACAAACGATGGATGGATTGATCAATTCAATAGTCTTATCCGTGAAACGAGTTGTGCTGGAAAGTGCTGGGATTACATTGTATTGTAGCCTCTATTGCTTTCCCCTCCTCTACCTCCTTATGAATAGTATTCTCTCCAAAATAAAATGTGATGTATGTAAAAATAAAGCTCACTAGAGCCATGACTTACCGACCAGCACAGTGTTTCCAGAGCTCAACACCTGCTTGGCTCCACGAGTTGTAGCAAGCACTGTGTGAACGTTGTATCCTGCAACAGCAAATGCTGCCTTCAACTCTTTGGATTCTGGAAATTCTCTTGGGGGATCTTAAGAAAAAGAAGACCTTGAATTTTTATGGAGGCCTTATAAATTGAAATGTTTCAAAGCACTTTACAGCAATTTGTGTAAACTGTGTATGTGGACAAATATTGCAGCTGTCCCATCACCAATACTGAGGTGTATGACTAATTTTACTTGAGGATTCCTGGCCACAGTACCTAGGCAGAAAGTCCATTCACTTCTTGAAAAGTGTCATGGGATCTTTAATATCTATCTGAACTTCAACAGGCAGATGAGATCTCGGTTTAACGTCTCATCCAAAACCCCTTGACAATGCAGTGCCCTTCAGTACTACAGTGGAGGGCCATATAATAATAAATAAATAATCCTTGCATTTACTATTAAGCCTTATCATGTCACCAAGACTTTTCAAAGAACTTCACAGGATATACTATAAAATGTTGCGCTTATGTATTTTGTGGGCAAATATATTGAGTGTTGAGTGAAAGGTGTTTAACTAAAAACCTAGAAGAAAACAGGATATTTAGACAGCTGGTGAGGTGTGTTATGATGCCATTGAACTGTGCTGCTATGGTATTGCTAACTCCAACAAGAGAACTGGAACTCAGGTCCATTAATCTTATATAAAGAGCCTAAAGCAGCTCAGACAGTTGTAGTTCAGTCTGCAGACAATGTTTGTTCAGTAAATGTCTTCTCACAATGCGAATCATCAACACTGAAAGCATCCATCAGCAGATGTACCAAATGACAATAAATAAACAAATGCTGCAAAAATATCGAATATCGAAAGGCAAAGGAAAGGGAGGTTTTGATAAACATGGTACTGAACATCAAGTAGAATTACTCTGTCTTGAAATCAAAGTGTAATATCATCACATTAACTACATTAATAATAAGAATCCTTGCATTTGATATAACGCCTTATCACATCTTTGAGATGTCTCAAAACGTTTCACAGAATATAAATGAATTGACTATATAATTTGTTGGTGAAACGCGGCAGCCAATTGCGCACATTGTGAACTTCTTGGAGGTAGAAACTCCACCCAGGTTTAGATTTACATTACAATCCAATTTACATTTATATTGCACTTTCCACATTGGGAGAACGCCTCAAATTGCTTATTTACTCTATTTATGCGGCATTTCAGAGTCCAGAATTTGGCGAATTGGTGAAATCAGCTCTAACCTTGACACCAGTTCTTAAAAGAACTAACAAAAATTAAACCATAATTTAAATTTTAAAAATTGCCAAATTCTGGGCCCTTTGAAATGCGAGATGAATAGAGTAAATCTAGAACTGGATGGTATTTCTGGCCCCTAGTTTGATCATAATACATGAGCACCCCGAATTGAGGCAACACGTCCTGAATTTTCTCTTGATTTTAGTCTCAAGACATTGCCTTCAAATTTAAGATTGAAGATGAACATGAACAATTTTGTAAAGTTTTAGAATTCATAATAAAATTTTGCTGATGGGGAGAGGAAGGAAATTGTTCATGACTGACAATTATCACATCACACAGAACACTTTTCAGTCATTAAGTCTATGCTTGTATGGACATCTATTGTACCTTTCACCAGCAGTCGTGTGGTTTCTATTGCTTGGCCAAGAGCATTAGATGCCTGACAGGAGTAGAGGCCCTGATTGATTAGGGTGACATTGAGGATCACGAGGGATCCATTCTGAAAATGGCTGGTGTTAGTGTGAAGTCTGCTCTTGTCTTTTGTCCAGGTGATTCTGGGCTGAGGCAGACCTGTAAAAACAAGACAACATGAAAATAAATAAAACTTCCTCTTCTCTCGATGAAGTTTGAAATGCAAAGTCATCATGATCTGCCTGGGGTTTCACGACCAGGCATGGAATGAACAAGACACAACTTGGCTGATGCTTCAAATATGGATAATATCACATCTTCTTGTAGTTTCACAAGTGTCAGAAATCACTCAGAATTAGACTTATTTGACCTGTGAATATTTTTAATTATGTTTATTGGGATAAAAAAAAGATGCTTAAAAACTCATTTGATATCGATCAAGCATGTTATCAATTCTATTATGAAACATCAATCTTTCGCCATTCCTATTAAAACCTGTAAATGGGACAGGCAAGAATAAATGCTTTTTTTTGCTCAGGATCATTTTTGGACCAATTTGAGCTTCTCCACTGTTTAACCAGACTGTGCTCGAAATAAGTTTCAAAGATATCAGCATTGAATAAACATCAGATAAAATGGTTAATCATATATTTCGCAATGCACCCTCCAGAGTGGTGAGAAACAATCACAGGCCTCTTCCTGAGTCACGCTTTTGTTGCAAAATGTATAGCGTTTGAAGGACAATAAATAGAGATGTAAATAAAACAGATGACAATGAACCTTGTGTGTGTTTACATTTTTATGGAACAGCTGTGTTTGCTTTTATGAGCCTTATATACAAATTACTTTAATGGATAAGATATGTTTCATAAATTTATGCTTTTAACACTCTTGGGACTCTGGCAACATTTTTGCACTCAAATGGAAAACAGTTTCAAATTGTTTAGAACTTTCTAAGGATGCAATGATCAGGCCTCTATTTTACAGTATTTCCATTACAAACATATGGGCATCCAGTTTGTTTTGAATGTTTGTAGAAAAATAAAGTGAATATTTATAATAATAATCTTTCAGACGTCTCAAATATACTGTAAAGTGGATTGACTATGTATTTTGTGGGTGAAAAGTAAGTGATTATTGCCCCCAGAAACGATTTGTCAATTGGCTAACAATCAGGTTCACGCTTACTGCTGGGTAAACAGAAGAGTGTGGAGTAAGGTAACTTGACGAAGGTTATGCCCTGCTTGGGAATGAAACCCGGGTCCCTTTGCTTTCGAGTGCTCTAACCAACACTCCCTCCGCTCAGCGGGCTCTGGCCTGCTTCACAGGCCCCGCCTGTTTACCCCACTATCGGCAGGCGGGCCTTCCTCCACTCTGCACCCACCCTCTGGAATTCCATCCCGTAGTCCCTCTGTCTCGCCGCCTCCCTCTCCACCTTCAAGATCCACCTCAAGACCCTCCTCTTCGACCGTGCTTTCGATCTCCCTGCTTCCCTCCCTGCCCTCCCCCGTTCCCCAACCCTCAGCTCGGGTCCGAAACTCTGTCTGTTCAGCGCCTTGGGACATCCTCCCGACGTGAAAGGCGCTATATAAATGTAATCTTGTTGTATTGGACTAGAGTTAAAAAGCCAATTCACCCTTTCAGTATTGGAAGAGTTAACCCCCCCACATTTGGATTAATTATTACACACATGGATTTAAAAGTAGAATGTGTTGGCTCAGAATTTGAAATAACTTTGGAATTATTTCTTCATTGAGAATCAACAGATGCTTCTATTTGATGCAACTCAGTATGAGACGAAATTCAGAAGATGTAAATACAAGACAGGGCAAACAGGAACAATGTCTCCATGGCATTGCAAGCAAGGAGTTGATTACCCTGTGCCAAACCTACGTTGAACAAGTTAACAGTAGGGAGGGATACCATGTGAAGGAGCTGTCAGCAGATTTGCAAACAACGTGCTCTGTAATATTCGCAGAGCAACACTCATGAATTACAGTGCAGTGGAACAAATAGATGTGTGAAGCAATTGTTAATCTGCAAATATTTCGAGGAAGATGCATTTAACCCTTCACCTACCAGGTCCAGGGAAACAGGAATCTCCCTGGGCCAGACGTTTCTAAAGTTCTCAATCCATACTAATTTTGCTAACAATTAATACAAATCAGTCTTTACTGGGTTCCAACTTGTGGGTTGTGTTAACAGACCATGTGCAAAATCCATAGGATGGTTTAAATCATGTGCAAAATGTAAACAAATTGTGATTCAGGTTAGTTACTTGGAAACACAAACACATGCCCTTAATTAAGTACTTAATACCAAATGTTATGTGAAGGATTTCAGTCTCTAGTATCTTTACACTGGTTGTTAATCATATCATTTATAGCGCTTGTAAGTCCCTCTATCTCTATATACACGCATTTGCATTAGTTCAATCCATGGATTTGGGGTGCAAAATAGACCTCCACTGTAATATTGAGAAATAATTAAGAATTGTGATGTATTAATTACAACTAGTGCTAATTACATCACAGGTCACGATTCTTCCCTCCTCTGAATTTTAAAATACAAAATAAACTTTTGAAACACTTTTGATATAAAATAATAAAACAATGATTGTTGATTTCCCTTTTATCTCCAACTTTTATTCCATGAATTCTAACTTAATCTATTCTAACCCTTTTTAAAAATAATCTTTTTTGAACCACTGAAGTGGAAAATGTGACTTATGATAACCGTTGATAATATCACCTTGTACTGAGTAGAAAATTTCACCTGGCTCTAAGTTACTCTCTTTATGTAGCATTTCAGAGACATTCAGAATGTAACAAATTCTTAAATTCAACCTTTACTTAGCTGGTCAGTAAGTTATTTTAAGAAACATAGAAAACCGACTTCAAATTCAAGACCGAATTCAACAATTTTCCACATTGTTTAATTTTCTAATATAGAGTAAATCTAAATCCAAATAAAATTGCTCCCCACGAGAATTTACTCAGTTGCCTTTACTTCTATCTTCCAAAAATTGATCTTCAACTTATTTGAAAGTATCTCCAAAATCTTTTCTTAATTAAATTAAAAAATATTAAGAATAAATTGTAAATACACATTACTGTCTGCAACAGGTGAAATACATTCACTAGGTAAGGTATGATAGGGCAAGGAAAACTAGATTATGCTTTGGTGTCTTAACTTATCTATAGTGCAGTAAGGGTTGATACCTTGGCATTCATCATGGAAAAGCAATAAAACAATTTTAAGAGCTCTCCCTGGAGTATTTTTTAAATAAAACTACCCAGTTCCCTATAATTTACTGCACACATTAGATTGATTATCAACCTGAAGTTCCAGAATGGTAACGATCTAAAGATTTCTTCAGTGGTCGTCACACCAGAGTGAATAGAGCAAAGCAGACAACGTATAGACAATGACAGACAATGACAACTGGGGGACAGTTCTCTGATGTTTTCTTTCACTTTTTAAAAACTTTTTGGGAAAGCTTCAATACACTACAGTACAGATGTAAGCCAATCCATCTGAAATTGATACACTAAGTTCGATAATGGTGCTGCTAGTGACCGAAGATGTGCTGAACAGCATACACAACAACTGTGCCTACATTGTACATTGTGGAGTGTAGTATAGCTGCGTAACAGCCTTGTGGGTTAAGGTAACATAGTGTATTCATATAGACCAGAAGGCTGCTAGTTTGATATCCAGTCTGTACTGAGTTGGTTGATCTCAGTTGGACAGCAATAAAGGTACAACAGTTGTCTTTATTGCTGTTAGGCTGAGGGAGAAGAAAATAGGCTAGAGTTCTCACTCCCTATCATTATCCTTTGATTCATTCAGGAAAGTGTCAGGTTCAGAAATACTCTGACTCAGCTACGATACCCTCTACAGTAGGATAGGATATTGATAGGAGAAATTCCACCTGGGTCTATAATTACTCTATTTCCTTAACAACAACAACAACAACAAGATTCCATTTATAAAGCGCCTTTCACGTCAGGAGGACATCCCAAGGCGCTGCACAGTTGGGTCATGACCCGAGCAGGGGGGAAATAGTCAGGGTGAGGGGAGGGAAGGGAGGGAGCGAGGAGGGGGAAATGGTGAGGGGAGGGAAGGGAGGGAGCGAGGAGGGGGGAAATGGTCAGGGTAAGGGGAGGGAAGGGAGGGAGCGAGGAGGGGGAAGAGAGTCGAGAGGGTCTCAGAATGTGCAGAATACAGTAAGTTGTTGAGTCCAGTCTAAGCTTTTAAGGCGATTTTCCATAATTGATAAAATAACTTACACAGAAAAAGGTTTCATTATTGAAGAATTTGCCAAATTCTGGATCACTGTCCTCATCTGACATACACACACCACACACATCTTTTGCAGCATAAATCTCTAGATTAAAAGTGGGAACCCAAGTCAGGAGCATTGATGCCAAATGTAGCATTGTGGCTGAGTTCAGTTAAACTCAGCACAGATTGGAATTTGAACCTGTGACATTGTGGTCTGCAGGGGAGAAATTCCACCTGGGTCTAGATTTACTCTATTTATTTAACATTTCAGAGTGTCTGGAAATAGGGAAATTCTTATATACAGCATTCATTTTGAAAAACAACTTCAATTCTTTTAAGGAATAAAGAAAACTGACTTCAAAGCTAATGTAAGACTGAATTCAACAACTCTGAACACTCTAAAATGCTACATAAATAGAGTAAGTCTAGATCCAGGTGGAATTTCTCCTCAATGTCCAAATGGTACAAAAGGCAATGCATTTCACCTACAGAGCAATGAGGAGCTTGTTGCAATGTGATTCAATAAAATATGTTTCCCATGTCGGACCAGCTTAAATCCAATTGGGAAATTACTTTTGCATGATTCTAGCACTTCATTAAACCTTTCTCACTCAGGTGAGTTGTTAGGTTTTTTTTATATATCAAGTCTTAATTACAGAGGCTGTTCCAACAGTGCACAGCCAGTCACCAACACAAACTGCCTGCAAAGTGAAAGGTATTTGAACCACATCTAAAGTTGTTAGATCCACATTGAACTAATTATGAAACTAATACCTTAGAAATATTGGGAGCAAAATTGAGTAAATTCAGTCAAATACCTCTGGCTCCCCACCCCCTCTGCTCCGGCTTCCACTCCATCTTCCTCACTTCTG